ACCTCAAAAAAATTATTTTGATTTCCCTGGTAGTATTTATTTCTTTGCAAAGATTAATATTATTATTTTCACTCGCAAATATTGACTTAAAACTTAGTAATTATATTATCAGTAAAATTTTTAATCAATCAAAACGTTTCCATGCATAAATCCTGCTTGTTCATAAATAAAATATTGATTGTACATTTTTAAATAAATGCAAACAATTGCAGAATATATTATATTGAACTAAAAAATTAATTGATTAATTATTACGTATTCGTTGAAATGCCCTCTTGAATTTCCCTTCAATATAATGGTGGTAGTATTTGTACAAATATAATATGTTCATCGATTGAGATAATAATGTTATACATAACAAATTGTAAAACATTCTATTCTATTATAATAATAAGCAATTATATAATATTTTGAAATTATGAACATTATTGTTATAATATTATTTTAATTTCAAATTATTGTAGGCATGACAAATGACTTCAATCATTATTTAATTATTATAAGATATCTCTAATAGTTTAGGTATATCATAATCAGTAATCACATACCTATTATAATTAAATCGTTTACACTTGCAATCTTATTATGGTAACACTTACTAATATTTTTCACCAACATCAAACATAAATCACTAATTAGAAAGTAAATTTAAGTTAAATTTGTCATTATATATACCTATTTTTATTAACAACATTATAATAATAAGGTTGTAAAATATTTCATTACATGATTTACGTTTTTAGTTTTTTGAATTTTTATTTATTTTTTTATAATATTTTGTAAAAATTGTTTTGTATCAACTATCAGTTTTAACAAAACATTTCTGTATTGTGATTAAAAAACTTTCTATAGGTCTATTTAAGTATTACACTAGCGTTATACAATTTTAAATCGTAATTTATTAGTTAATTTTGTATTTAAATGCCACCGAGTATGTTTGTTTTGTTATGCAACAATTTAATTGAATTTATAATAGTCTCCTGAATAAACTTTGATTTAAAAAAAACGTTTTCTAGTTGTTGAAATTAGTATTTAGATTATGTATATGAACGTTTTTAAAACATGTTTTGGGCTCTATGTAATTATTTTTAAAATATTTTCAAAAATGTTAATACTAATTAAATATAAAGTAGTATTTGTTTAAAAAAGGTATAAGACAACTACTATAAGTAATCGTCAAAAATTATAAATATTTAATATTATTTAAAATTGAAATAAAAAAAAATATTAGAGGATATATTATATTAATATCCAAGAACGCAGTGATCACATATGTGATGGATAGATTGAACCACGCATTAATTAGCGACATTGTTCGATTTGGCTATAGTTAGCCATTCAATATCGTGAGACTATTCGATAGGTTTAGCCATTCACTAATTATATTGTTTTACTAGATTATAAAACTTTGTCGTTTTTTAGGTATTCCCATATGTTTATCAATGGGTTTATGCACCTCAAAAATGGGTAAAAATGTAAAAGATTTTTTAAATACAGAATACGTAGAAAAAATTTAATTTGGCATATTTGAGCATAGTTTGGGAGATTAAAGAATATTTAGCTTATTTTTATTATTCTCAAGAAACGATCAATTAAAAATAAACTGGGCTTGAAACCCAATATTGGATAACGATTTTGAATACCGGTTAAAACCGTTAAAAACCGAAAACAATATCGAAACTGAAAGTGAAATCGAAAAAACTTAATACCGGTAATCAAAACCAGCATGAAATCGGAAATAATAAATACCAATAATAAAAACTGAAGTCAAAATCGGAATAAATAAATAATAATCACCGAAAACGAAATCAAAATAGGAAAAAATATTGCAAACAAATATGTATTATAAAATAAAATTATTGAATTAATACGTCTAATTATTTGTTTAAAAATTTGTTATTTATTGTTAATCGAATTCAATGGCTTGTAATTAAATTGGTACTATATTAGTCACTATGGTCCACTTGGCTAATGATATACGCTGTTTGACCTAATCATTAATCAATTACCTACCGGCTACCATTAAATCAAATCAACAATAATACACAGAATTCTAAATTATTAAATATATAATAATATAATATACCTACTTTACATACAAAATTAAATAATAGAACTACTCAAACAAAAAAAAACAAATGAATATATATATATATATATGTTCCCAGATTTTATTGAGTGGTAAGAGCATATTAAAATCATATTTTAAACTTTGAAGATCCTAAAAATTTGATCACCAGCCATATTATATTATTGTTGTTTAAGCTCAAGAAAAAAATTGCCATCAATGTTTAAATAGGTACTTAGTGAAATATTAATTGTTTCTTACATAAAACTAGTTATCTGATATGTTAAATTATTATCTGACATGATTTTTAATGAAATCTTTATAAAACAAACAAAAGTAAACGAAAGAGAAATTAAATTATAGTTCTTATTTTGCATATTGTATGTGAGTTATAGTTAGCGATCTGTTAAAATATTTGTCATAGTCACATTGAGAAATGGTTTCCAACCATCGCCGTACAGCTTACCTAAATTGTAGACAATAGTTAAACTTTTATTATTACCATAATCACCAACGTTCAAGAAAAACATAATTTCAGGTTATTGTCAGCATTCTTACAAAAGCGGTGAAAACACATTTTTTTATTTAAACCAATAAATCATTTTCAGGTTTTTGTTTTATTTATTTTGATACGTGAGATTTAGAGCACAACGTAGATCCGGATTTGTACTCGAAAAAAACAAATGTCAGTCACCACAAGTTTTTAATAAAAATAATGATGTATTGGTCTGTTTCAACCCTCACAACTGTCTGCAAATTATTTTAATATGTACCGATGTCAACGGCTAAAAGAGATTCAAACGTTTACAAAAAAAAAATTGGTTTAATAATTTCGACATTTCTATTTAACTTTTTTTTATAGCCTAAGAACACTGATTGCTAAAAATTACCTTCCTTCACATATTTGTTAAAGTTTACATTTAAGCCTTCACTCGGTTGAATTGGTACAAAAAGGTAGTTTTTCGCATACAAAATTCATACAGACATCATAATTGCATTCGTGATGTGATTTATTAACGTTTTATCAGTGGTTGAATTGGGGGGGGACGCGGGGGGACGGAGTCCCACTTCTATTTTAAAAATATTTTAGCGTACCCCTTCTAATTTCTTTTAATGGGACGCTGGGGACGGGAATCATTTTAAAAATTGTACTAAATTAATGGAAAAATTTTTATTTTAGATTCTGAGTGAAACGATGAATGTATTGATTTTACAATGATGTGTGTTTTTTTTTTTTATTTATTTATTTATTTATTTTTTTTGTGTCTGGATACACGATAAGTAGTCGAAATAATGCTTCGATTTTCAACTTCAGTATCTTGTTCGATTGGAAAGTGAATATCGTTGGTGCATTGGGAGGTTAAAATTTAAATTTCCCAGTAGTTTTCAAAAGCGCTGGGAAAAACAAAAGAAAAATTAAGGAAAAACGGGAATTTTTACACAAAATCTGTTTTCGAGAAAATCGATTTTGGTTTTTGGTGTAACTTTAAAACAAATGACCGTAGATACATGACATTTTCAGTGGTTGTTTATATTTGCATTTTCTATACACAATAACATTTTCAAAATATTTTGATTTATTTTGAACTGTTTAGGGACATTTTCAGTTTCCAATTTTATTAGTTTTTTTTTTTTTATGAATATCAATAAAAATTTATTTGTTGAGTAAAAATACTTGAAAATTTAATACAAGGCTCCTACTATATTGTTACAATGGCATTTGAAAAATATTAAAAATCGTTAGTCTCAGTTTTTTTTTTAAGCATTTAAAGTTCAAAAAATGACAAAATATGGAAAAATCACGAAAATTTGCAAATTATTTCGAGTTAGAAATTCATAAAAATTTTTCTTTTCAAATCTAAGATATGAAAATGTAATACAAGATTCCTTATAAGATTTCCTACATTTATCAAAAAAAAAATTCTATAAGAAAGACAAATTAAATTTTTATGAGCGTTTGAAATTCAAATTTTTACAACATTGGATATTCACTCGATTTCTCATGTGGCGATTTCCTTATTTTGTTGTAATTCAAAAACGAATTACTGTAGATACATGAAAATTTCACTGAATGTTTATATTAGCATTTCCTATACACCATACAATTTTGAAAATATTTTGACTCTTTTTGAGCCGTTTATGGACCTTTTTAGTTTTCAATTTTTTTAGTTTTTTTTTTTTTCTATAAATATCAATAAAGTTTTATCTGTTGGGCCAAAAAGTGTAAAAAATTAATACAATGCTCCTGATATATTGTTACAATAGCAATTGAAAAATATTAAAAATACATAGACACAATTTTTTTCTATAAGCATTTAAAGATCGCATTTTGACAAAATTTATCAAAATCTCGAAAATTATCAATCATCGTAATTAATAAATTATAAAATGTTCAGTTTATATAGCTAAGGATTGAAAATTTAAAACAAAATTCCACGTAAGTAGTTAATTCTGTTACCAAAAAATCTAAAAAATACACAAGCACAGTTTATTTTTATGGTCATTTTAAGTTCAAATTTGGGACGAAATTACATATTAAAAAACCTAGCATACCTATTTTAGTTATTTTGTTGTGAGTGTATAATACTATTCGTGGGTACTTGAAACTTCTTAAGTACACTATATTATATATCTATGATAGTATCAGGATTTTTTATTGCTGTATAACGTGTTATAAGTACCTAATGGATATTGTGATATGACTAATTAATAATTTGGAATTTATTATAGGTCAATTTTTTTTTTAATACCATAGATATGTATATAATATGTCTTAAACCTAGACTACTTAAATGAAGTATCCGCAATTCGAGGATTTAGAGACTTTTAAGACTTGAAAGATTCCTCAAAAATACCAACATTAAACCCACTTTTAACTGCAATTTCAACTATTGCTGTATCTTCATCTGAATGTGAAAGATCATTTAGTTCCATGAACAACATAATAACGCCTAAAAGAAACGTACTAACTTCTGAACACATAGCATCATTAGTGTTTATTAGTTGTGTTGGACCACCTGTTCAATTGTTTAAACCAGACCACTATGTAAAAAGTTGGATTAAAACGGATAAAAGAAGTGCAGAAGAAACAAGATGTCCAAAACGAGACGAACATGACATAGATCATTCATATAAACATTTATGGGCATATTTAAATTTATAAAACAAATAACAATTATTATTATGTATTTTACAATATTTTATTTTTAATTTTTAAATAAAAAGGAATATTTGTTTATTGCTGTATGGTGTAAAATGTCATTGTAGCGGGAGGGGGACATATGCTACCACTTAACAGTAAGACATTTAAATGTTCGGGGACGCACATATCTTTTATACTTTTGCATCCCCCTTCTATTTTTTTTCCAATTCAAGCACTGCGTTTTATATAATATACGTCATTTACCTATATAAATATATTTTTTTAAACAAAAATCAGAAACAAAATGGTTTTAAGTCTAATAGATATTTTTGAACGTTTACACTCGTTAAGGTTAAAATATATATTCAACTACCCAACTTTACTGTCATACAATATGATATATCATAATACATATGTGAAGCATTGCCAATTGCCAAAGGGGCCGAATGTAGCAAATTTCCTCGGGGGTGTCAACAGAAGGAGTTGAATATTTGCTCATACAAATATTACACACAAATGCAATACATAAACGATTTGTGTACAATATAAATATACAAAGTGTAACAGAATGATCTGACATAAAATAAAATAAATATGATAGTTCTACGTATGACAAAAATTGTGTAAATTATAAGGATAAGTAAATAATTTAAAAAATAAACTCATGTCAGGAAATTCCCAAAAATAATATATTGAAAAATAAATTATGTCTTAAACTAATTTATTCCAAAAAAATTATTAATATTATCTAAAAAAAATTCTAAAAACTAAACAACTTGAATTAGATAAATGTTTTTTTCCAAAATTATTCTTGTAATCAGATTTACAAATTGGCTATTTTAAAATTTTTCTATAATATTTGATTCAAATGTTTTAATTTTTATTTTCAGTTTCAAAAAATAATAACGAAAAAAATTTATATTATTAATAGGTATAGCTATGTATAAAAAAATAAAATGTAATTATTAATATTATAACAAAAGTTGTTACATTAGTCAGTTCTTTTTGTGTTACACCCCTTTTATAAAATGCTACTTACATAGTTGCACGTGATAAACGAAAGTCAATAGTGCATTTATAAATAAGTGATAATACATACTATGATTATTGTGAAATAATATATAGAATCGTACATAGGATATAGTGTCGAAAGTCTGCGTGCAGGTTACAAAATATCGTCAACACAAAAGTTACATAATATTAATATATTCTGCTAAGTCTCTGGTAGGTACCTACGCTCAAAAAAACTTTATAATAATATACTACGCATAATAATATTATACATTATAGGTGTAGTTTTGTATTTTACATTTTATAACAAAATAAATACATTTCCCTTCTTTTTAGTATCAAAAAATATTTAAACTAATGTATTTAGAAATATAAATTATTCTATTTATTTTTAGTGTATTCTATATTTCTATTAGATCAACGGAAATGGTAAAAATCATTTACTTCAATAAACTTCAATTTTGTGAATTAAATCATTGAGATTGTAATAAAAATATGATTTCTGCTCTATGAAAATAGTTACACCTTTTATTATTATTATTATTATTATTATTATTGAACTATTATATTATTATACTGAAGAGTACGGTTCGCAACAATACTTTTTCAAACAAATATTCTAAAATTGTTCATGAATTTAGTAGGTATTAATTAATTATTATTCATATTTTATGACAACTCCTATAGTCATGTTTTGGTTTATCGTAAAATGTTTTTCTGTCTAATAATTTTCGCTGAAACTGTAATTTTATCATGTGGCTTACTGTAGCTCACGCTAATGTCAAAAAATGTCAAACTTATTCGTTTTATAATTTACACTTTGTCCGGTTAATATTAAAATGTCGATAAAGTGTCTTTTCGGATTATTTGTCTGGACGTTGACATGTTTAATTCGTTATCCAAACGGTAAAAAAATCGTTTCAAATTTTCGTGTTTTTCGTATTTCTGACACGCTTAATTATTGTTAGTCGATGTTTTTACAGGTTTATTCGTCCCTCGGGATGAAAAAGAAGTTGTCTCTAGACGATAAGGGCAGATGTTGCTCGGTGCAAATAAATAAATCTTTTGAAAAACCGTATCCTGCTGCAATCTCGATTAACGTTATAGCATTTACGTTTTAATCATTTGTTCTCTGCACTCAATCGTCATTATTCTAATAATATAACCACCAAACTAATTTAGGTTTATTGAAGTCACGAGAAAATAGTTATTTCTAAAATCATTTGAGCGAAACTATATATACCACCAACCGATAGGTTGTCTCATACTCTCGTCACGATATCTACATATGTAATTAAATTATAGAATATAAAATATAAATAATTTATACAATAAGTACATCATAAAGTAAAAATTGAAGGTTTATGTTATTTGTTCTTTATTATAAATTAATTAATTTAAGATACCTACCAACTACATTTTAGTTGTTATTAAGTAACACAAAAAAATTTTTGTTTTAAAAATTTAGAAACAAGATCGAGATAGTATTGAACATTCGATATTTAACGTTATATAATATTAAGTTCACAATATTTATATATTATTGAACTATGCGTCTATTAAATTTAAACATTCATCAAAAGTTCATAGACCATTTTAAAAGAAAACTCTAAAATATCTATGTAATTAAAAAAAAAAATATATCGAAGCACAATTTCTAAACCGCGTTTTTTCTATAATTTTTCTAAATTAAATACTATTCAATCGACCTCTCTATAGGTCCATAATTTTCGTTACTATACGATTCTTAAGTAATTCAAATAAAACGGTAAGCTTTAAATTCTGTTTTATATTACATTTTTTACTGAATGTTGATAAAATTACAAAAATAACAGTTTTTATTTGTATGCCGTGAAAACACTGAAAACTGTTAGAAATGTTTTATTTTCACTAGGTATAAAAAGTTATTACTCGCTTCACGCAAGGCTTAAATTAGACGAAATTTGATTGAAACCACAAGAACAACCTTGAAACTTTAATTTTATTTATGTCCGGCATCTTTGTTAAATAATAATAATCAAAACATTTTAACCTTAATTTACAGAAACGTATTTTATGATACTGACCTAAAATAATGCAATAAACAACAGTGGTTGCTGTGTCGTATAGTTTTGATGTTTTTGATTAATTTAAAATTAATTTTGTCAATAATGAAAGAAATAATTTACCTCACTTCGAGCTGTCTAGGGCTCTTAGGTATTGAACGACTAAGTAAAAAATAATAATAACTCAACAAAATCGATAGTAATCGATAGCTGGCCAGCTGGCTAAAATATAAAGAGAAACCCAGAAGGCAATTTAGCACCCCGATGGTTCAACCCCAATTTTTTTTTTTTTTAGATTTTTCTGAAATATTTTCTTAAGCTTTCATGCATGCATTGATGCATATTACATAACGGATTACTGAAACGGATCAACATACTCAGACGAGGAGAGAAAATAATTTATCTAGGGCATGAAGAAAATTAAGTTGCAGGCTATACTTTTTAACTACCAGCTACTCATTAAGCTGATGGAAAACTTCTCTGAATTATTTATTTTTCAAAAACTCAGAAATATCAAATGCATATTTTTTCTAATCCAGTGGTTCCCAGATTTCCCAAGGTACCATGTTCCACCGCGTAGTTTTTACAGGGACGCCGCGGCCGTGTTGACGTATAATTTAATATGGTCCAAAAATATATTTGAAAACCTGAAGATGGCGGCCATGGAAACATTATGATTTTATGAATAAAAATGTATAATTTTAATCAAATAGACATTTTCATATTAGGTTTCCATTATAATTTTTTCTGGTTGTTACTACTGATTTTTATTAATTTTTCTATTTCTAATAATTATTCATACTATGACTTGGGAAGGGCGCCCTTAGAAAAGCTGAGTTCAAAAAAAGGAGCCAAAAAAGTATGGGAACCGCTGGTCTAATCCTAAAATCAAATGAAAAAATAAATTATAGCGTACTGTTTTATTTTTTCCTTATTATATTTTTTAATATTTGAATAATTATTATGAATATATTTTTGCAGTTTAGGTTTAACTCCGCCTTTACTCACCTAGATTCATTTGGGACATACATTTGAACTATTAAAGAAAGACGATAGTGATAATAATAGTAAAGTCAGAATTTGGCGTTCGGACTTACTTTTAAAGTTGTAGCTAATTGAAGTCCTGACCCATCCAAAGTACAGTTACATAACAAGTCGAAAGATGTTTTCGATTTTAATTGTCCACGTAATGATAACATACAATTATCATTAACATTATTATTATTGGTTATGTTTTTATATTATGTTATTAGCTGATCCCTTCAAAAATTACAACTCTTAAAATAATTCTAATTGTGCAACTCATTCTGGATGTAACTCGATGCAGTAATATCAATTCAGCCACCCTGGTAGGCATGGGCCCGACTTGGCATAGGCGCAACTAGGGTTCAAATTCTAGGGGGCCACAGTCCACCTAACAAAACTATTAATTTAAAATACCCCCATAGGGGTGGATGGTATTTATATCTAAATCAATAGGAATATTTTTTTTGGGGGGGGCTAAATCTTAGTCAGGAAAGGCTTAGCCCCCTAGTTATGCAACTGCACCTTAATCTAGGCAGTGTATGAAAATTCTATTTGATGCAAGCTATTGTACCCGCGGATCTGTCTGACCAATAGCAACCAACAAAATAATGAATACTAATTTCTCCAACAAAAATGTCAATCTTAAATCTCAAAATCCCTGTTTGAGCACCTCCCTGGATTGGACCTACCTGGTCGAATTGTGAATCTAAATCATCCCGGGAACCGCTCAAACACGCAACAAATTCCATCCGTTTAGGAATGCATAAAGGACAGACAAATATTGGTTTTTATGTATTATTATAAAGATATAAACTTTAGGCACTGTAAATCTTATCCAGTACACTTCGTGGCCCATAAAAGTACCAAATCTATAATTTATTTTGAATGTTGTTAAATTCGTTATTTAATATTCGGTGTATGGTGTTCAAAACTTACAAA